TGTATGTCTTTTTCACTTTGTACATTTGTAGCTAGTTTATCTGGTGCTCGGCGAACGGCAGTCTTCCGAAAGCAGGCAAAAGCCAACAGAAACAATGCACAAAGTGTTAAATAAGCACACTGAACGAAAAAAAAAACAACACACAATCGTCAACCACAAACAAAAATCAATGATCATATGCTACTTTCCAAGATAGTGTTAGTGTGTGTGTGTATATGTTTTTTTTTCTCTTCGCTTCTAATTAGTTTTGCATTTCGAACGAACAATGCCGCATTCAATTTATGAATCAACGAACGAACAAAAGATCGAACGGACGCAAAGTGAACAAGAAGACAGAGAGAAAGAGCGAAAAAATGACGAACGAATTTTTCTATGGCATATTTTATTTCTCGACGTTTTTTTTTAAGTAGACATTTAAATGTATATCTCTCCAAGCGCTATTTATCGACCATTTCCGAGAATTATTCAATAGTGTGTATTCACGGTGTGCACATTTTTTTTTCGCTCGTTGTTTGCATTGGTTTGGGCTGGCGTGGCGCGTGCACACCGTCTGAAATGAATTATGTGCATGCTCACGTCGAAGGAACGCAAACGCAAAGGCAAAGGCAAAGGCAAAAAAATCGTTAAAAAAAAACACTGAAGAGAAAAAAAAATTCTCGGCCTGTCGTCTATTTGATATTAATATATAAACCCCAAGGTAAATCACCTGATTTATTTCTATATTTTCTATTATACAACTAAAATTGGTGATTGTTGTTTCGGCTGGTATAGACATTTTCGAAAGCGATTTGTTTTTTTTTTTTCATCGCATTTGCACGCCGCGCGAGAGGGCTTTTATACCGTGCGCTTTTTTTTCGGTTGGCTTATGTGAAATGATTTGAGAACGTGCATAGGAAAAATGGCTCAAATCGCAATGTTGCCACACACATCAAATGCGGTTCGAATTAAAAATTGCGGCAAGCGTAAAAATGAGTTCGAATCAACATTGAAGTCGACTTTTGACAGTCAATGAGGCAATGATTTTTCGCGTTCGAACCGAAAATTAGTTCATCCAATCATTTGAACCCATCGATTGTCTCGCACAAACATACGTCGGGCTGCAATCTACGATTCTTACGCACTGAACTGATTTCCGTGCAACATTTTTTCTCCAAAAATTTCGTTGGACATCGCTTTGCGTTGTCGTTCGTTGGCGCTTGAAATCATTAGCCACTTATCAACAGGTTCGCTATTTCCTTTTGGTCAAATGAAACCGGGAGAGTGAGCGAGGGAGACAGAGGAGAAGAAGAGAGCGAGAGAGCCGAAAAAATTATTTGAAATGAAGCTAATATTGAGCGTCGAGCACACGGTACGCGTGTTGACCTACATCGTGAACAGAGAGATCTAAATATTCATCATGCCTCACCTTCAGTCGGCGAGCCGCCGATGTTGGACAGAGACAACTATATAAGTGGTCACCACGACCAAATTCTCTTTTCAGCTGTTTTAACCGGCAGCAGCGGTGGCGACAGCAACGGCAACATCATTGCTTTCGAAAAAAAGTATGATGCGTGCAATAACCAATATATAACAATAACACAAATCGAACAGCAATCAAATAACGCGCGAGTGTTTCTTTTTGTTCTCGAGCTGACTGTTGAAAACATGATAAACAGCGTGACTCGCGAGAAGAAAAAAACAACAACAGCAACAAAATATAAACCCTTATTATTTGTAGATTGTGTTTTATGTTTACGAACGAGACCAAGGTCGAATTCAAGCCCACAACATTCAAATGCGGTGTAATGGTGTTTTTTTTGCGCTTGTTCATTCGTTTGTTTCGGTGCTGTGCGCTCGCGCGTACAGACCTGATCCAAATGCAAAGTTCATGAAAATTCACATGTGCTACCGATTTAACGGCGGCTTTGGTGTTTGTGTCTCTGTGTGTTGACGCGATTGCGGTTGATGTTATTGGTTTCAATGGGCTTTTTCTCTCTCGCTCTCTCATTCTTTATCGCATATTCGGTGCAGTGTTGTGCTAGTCGTCATAGTTACACAGAAATAAATCAATTTCCCAGAATTTCGTGTGCAATGGAACTGGGCGCCGCTGTTTTTTACTCATTTGTCAGTCGAACAGCAAGGCGAATCGATTATTCGAAGCGAATTGCACAATGCGACATTATTTAGCAATCATCATTAGGCAATCGTCGGTTCCTTAGAATTTTTTTTTTTCATATGTTTACCATTTCTAATCAAGTTTTCATTAAGAAATCATTAGTTCTTATCAAGTTTTTAAATCTTTTGATTGGAGCCAAACGAAAATTCAACTTTTTCTAACGTTGATTTGTTTAGAATATGAAATCATTTCTGGTTTTTGACTAAATTTTACCTACATCAATGATAATTTCATTGAAAATACGGTGAATCGATAATAATTTCATAAGAAATTCAACGGTCTTTGATGACGGCTTTGATTCGTTCTTTCAACAGAATTTCCCAGAACGAATGCATTGCTTTTGTTTTCGATTGTCATTCATGACAAAAAATTGTCTATTTCTCTTCGCCAAATTGATTGATCAAATAAGATGCGCCCATTTTCTTGAACCGCAATGTATGCAACAGGCAATGAACAAATGCGCAACCGAGTACTTATTTTTCTTCTTATTCTTTTGTTTTCAAAATGACAATGTGCGTCATGAAGCTTACATTTGTTTTGTTTATTATTTGCTCTCTCTCTCGCTTCCTCATGGCTCTTCTGGTCGCACACAGTTCTTTCTGTTTAACTTCAACTCGTGCGGCCGTTCGTTCATCTGTTTTTCTCGGAATGCACAAACAATCCCGCGAAAAGTGTGTGTTTACACGAATAAAACACATTTTATTTACTATCGTTTTTGCAATTACTCCCATCGATTTGCCATTTATTTTGATCACAAATTTTATATACAAGTGATCACACATTTACAACAATGACGCTTCCATGATTGGCGTGTTGACGACCGAAGTTTCTCTCTCGAAAGGTTGTAAAGGAGAAGAACGAGATGTTGTTTTTTAGGAAAAGGGTGAGAGGGACGAAATTTACTCTTGTGACGATGAAATTTTGAGCAACGTTCAATAAGCACGAGGATTAAATGGGGAAGAATAGCTCTTGATTGAGAGTGAGAAAGAAAGAAAGAATGAAAGAAAGAGACACACTCAGAGAGAAAAAGAGAGAGAGAGAGAGGAAGAGTGAACACGGAATAACGATAAAGGAGAAATCGCAATAGGGCTCAAGATTAACGATATGCTGTAGTCTGCTTACCCTTCCGAAGTTGCCATGGTATTTTTGTCACGGGTTTTATTCGTCCGCAATTAAAATATATTCGGTATGCATCCACCACATACAAATAACTTACAATATGAGAATGAGTGAGTTCAAAATTTATGGTTGTTTGCATCGTATTACCCAATTTGAAGAGCAGTTAATCGCGGGCTGGGGGGGAGCTTTGAAGTATAAGAAACGCAAAATTGTTGCACACAGAAAATCATAAAAATGCTCTAATTTCGTGGAATTGTCGAGCCCATTAACTGACTTTCTCCGAAGTCGTAAGGACTCTCAAGAGCATCAGTTTGGTTCCACTTCATTTGAATATGCACAAAGTCAAATGGTTCATTAAAATCGATTCATATTACAAGCGGCGACTGTTTTCTCCCTCTCTTCCAATGTCTCACTGCCGCTGTTGCTCAAACAAGTGAATTTGTAGCTTCCCCTTACTTGTTAGCTCCCACTGGCAGACTGCCTTGCTTCAAGTGCAATTCGAAAATGCTTTTGTTCGTCTCTCATTTCCTGCTGTGTGCTGCGTTCAGGTGCACTTGTTACATAAATATGCGAAATGTTTCATCATGGTTTTTCGCCCATCTCGCCGCCATCGTTATTCTTTCATGAAAAGTGCCATTCGTGCATGGCTTTCATAGTGTGGGTGGTTTTTTAAACCAAAATATCGACTGTGAAATATTTATATACTGAAATTTATTTTGATTTTGTTGATGAAAAAGAACCGTGGTTTGTAGTCAGCCATGCAACATCAGTCATCCATGAAATTTCAGTTTCTTTGAAGGTGTAAACGAACTCATTTTTTTATGTTTGCGACAATTTTCTCGATGGTTTCGTCATTTTGTCGTAATTTCAATTTGTTGCCGGTCAAAGGTTTGCCGCGTCAAGCCAGTGCATAAATAAGTCTAGCATAATTGATTTTACTACATTTTACTTTTTACGACTTTTTTCTCAGCTCTTTTTAAATCGATCAAACAATGGCCAACCAAATTATAAATTCATATTCAATCATAAATCGTACAAAATTCTCTTGCCATAAACTAATCGATACCGTTTGAATATATTTGAGCCCACGTTTTAACGAGTATTTACCTTAGAATTGCCAGTATTCAGGAAAAAAAAACGACACGTTCTCTCACTCTTTCTTCCATTCGCTCCTCCGTTCGGTTCGCTTGATTTCCGTGAAACGAATATTATTTATTTTTAGCCGGGATAATAATTGCCTCGTAATTGAAAAGTAATTTTGCATTTATGCGGCAAAACGTTATTGAAACCGAAAATTAACATGTCAACAAAACACCTTTTCTTTTGCCATTGCATTTTAATTTTGGAACGTAGTCACTTCCTTGTTTCGAATCAAATGGAGGAGGTTTGTGATAAAATGGCTTGCGATAAAAAAAAAAGAATGAAAAGCCGTTTCGAAGCAGTATGAAATGAGCCACACCGTTGTCTTGTTTCCAATGAAATTGTTACACTAAAAATTTGAAATTTGCCGAGGAAGTCTGTGGACAAATAGCCGAATAACAGCGAATCATCTACTTGTTCCTCCTTCTCTGTCATTATTTCGGTATTCTTTAGAATATCACTCATTCTGTTCCTTACAAGGAATAAATGTATACAATTATGAATTTTGATTCTTGTGCCATTTGCACAAACGCTATATTTGATACATATAAAAATAACCCGGATTTTATCTCTTTTCTTTTTGCAGTATCTGTCATTTCCATCGCTGTCGAAGTCGGGCGGACAAAAATTTAGTTTTACGATTGCGGAAACCGAAGGACTTCAAGGCTCATTTGAATGCATTAAACAAGATCGCAATGAATTGGAAGTGTTGGGTTCGCTACCGCAAAAAATGCGAATACATGCCAATGAAGATGTGTACGAAGCAACTAGACATAGAATGGCTGTGGCTGAAGAAAATCAGAAAAATAAATGGTAAGTACCTGCCGAGAGATTGTGCGCTTGATGCCATGATTATGTTCTTTTTTTTTTGCTTTCTCTTGTTGTTGTTGCACTCTATGTCTCCTGGTCCTCGCCCTAGTTGGCATATAGAAAAATGAGCGAGCAGCCAAAGTTGAATAGCCTTTTAATGTAAGGGAAGAAGCGAGAAAAAAAAACAACAACAACGACGGACTCGGAAAATGAAAATCTTGGATTATTTCAGTCGTTGCCGGTGCCGCAATACTTTGAACGTCGATAAAAATTATTATGGAACAGCGACATACCAACAACATTCGCATAATCAAATGAGATCATTGAGAGAGTTGGTTGGCTGGCCCTTTTTTTCGCTTAACGAGAGCAGAAAAACTGTGCATAAAAAGCTCTCATTCGCCCGCTCTTACTTTCTCCATATATTCTCTTTCTCTCTTCGCTCTTTCCTCTGTGTCTTTTTCGCTCTGTGCCGGTCTCTCAGCCTTTCGCCCACTCACGCTCTGTCAAAACACAACTCGATACGGTCGAGCAGAATGATTGCACAATACAATGACGATGTGCATGTGCCCATTTAAACTTTGATTATATACCTAACATCAACATGTAGCCCGGAAACTTTGTACGACAGCTTTGTATAGTAGCCAAAATATTCGGAAGAGTAAAAGAGCGCGTTCGATGCGCTGAGCTGAATTCGACCGATTGCAGCGAACAGCACCAACAAAATGCATACGAAATGAACCGTTTGTGTTATTGCCATTGTGTATTTATCTGATGGTGGATTTTCGACTCTCGAGTTTCGACTTAAAAAGCCGAACAGTCAATTTTAATTACATTGGCAATGGCGTGCGCGCTAGAGGGAGAGTGAGAAAGAAAGCAAATGGAAAAAAAGGAGTGACTCAACCAAAAGGAATTTCTCCCTGTGTCTCATTCTCTCTTCTCTATTTCTATCTCTCTTTCGTTCGCTCTCTTTTTCTCTCACTTTCTCTCCTTACGTTTCAATCTCTTTGCTTTAGTCGCCTTTTCCACTCTATTCTCTATCTATCTCACTCACATTGCTCGGTTGGTTTTCATTGTTTTTGTTATCAGTGTTCATATTTTTTGGCGTCGAGATCAAAACTCTAGCATACCACAGCGAATGCCTGGCATTTGCCAGCAAGTCTACGTACCGAATTGTGTATGTGCATTTCTATCAAAATCTTGTCACACCGTTGCATGCATGCACGTTTGTCCATTAAAACACGTTTGGTGCAACTCGCATCCAGCCGCATATTCACGCAAAATCCTTGGCTCGTTCTCCAACATTTTCCAGGCAAACAACCGAAGAAAAAACAACAATGTTCCGAAATAATGACGAAAACTATACTCCGTTATATGAAACTACTCAACGTGTACATGTCACACACACATATACAGAGACGTGGGGAATACAAGCGAAGCGTTTGTTGGTCGTCGAACGAAATTCAAGCCGATGCTTAAAGCGATGCTCAGTTCTTAATCGATCAATAAAAAGCCATATGGATGAATGTGAGAACGCATACTCCATTAATTTGAACGCAATGAACACCGACACATTGAACATTTATGGCCCCGGTGCATTCTCACAAACATACACACACACACACATCAAACACCAAAGCTCACACATCACAAAGGAGTTTTAGCAAATAGCCGCTTTGATGTCAGTGCTTTTCAATCTCGGTTCCTCTATATCGCTTTCATCCTACCTCTCCCCTTCCTCTCTCTCTCTCTCTCTTCCTCTCTTTCCCAAAACAACAACATCAATCTCCCGTTTCGAAGGCGTGCGCTCACGATCGTTTCGCCTGTTTATAACTTTCCATCTATTTTGGCATCGTCGACTGATTTACCAAATCATATTGCATTTCTGGTTTTACACTCAATCAACAGCAGCAGCAGCAACGTAAAACGACAAATGCAAAATTCAATTAACATGTTCAATGGACAATTGAAAATCGCTGCGAGAAAATCCAATCAACATCTTGATCGGGAATACTCGCTTTGATTGACAATGCACAAACACGTGCACACAAACACCAGGCAAACGGTTCAATTATTATCGGCATTGATTATATTGTTAATTAGATTATCGAGTTTTGGTAAAGTGTCATTCGATGCTTCGGCTGCAATATCAACCGCAGTAGGAAAAAAACACACGAATCATAGAAGCGAAATGCATCGCTCACACACACACACACGCAGACGCTGACATTGGCACATTTCACTGTCATTTCGATTTTGACAATTACAAAAAAGAAACCAATTGCATTGAAATGATGGTTTTTTTTTCGGGTGTTTTCGTTGGCGACTTTAATCATCGCAATGATGACACATTTCAAATATTTCGTTGAATCAACATTTCTTGGCATCGTATTCCGTGTGGAAAATGCATTCAATTCGGGAAGTCAAATAACCGAATTAAACTTGAACAATTTCAATTTTCATCCGAATATTTAGAATTTTCAATGAAAAATGTGTGGCGAAAAAATTGAAACGAATTAAGAAAAACAAATAAATGGAAATGAAACGAATAAAGAGCTTGAAACTTGTAATGAAAATAGATGGAATCGGAGATGAAATGAACAAGAAGTCGAATCTTGATATCCAGTTTGTGTAATTAGATTGAGAATGAGGTCAGTGAAAAATAAAACGTGTGTGACGTACCAACCAAATCGTCGTCACTTAGAAGCATCAGATTGAATGAAATGGGCCATCAACAGGGGATTGAATAGAATATGCAGCGCATTTCGGTGAATGAGCTTAGTTTTAATTGTTGCTACCATTCCATTTGGTTCATTTTAATTTATTCAATCGTAATCACTTTGGATGGCCCTAATTGGTTGCAAACCACTCGCAATGTGACGATGCGAGTGTGTATCGAAAATGTTTATTTGTCGGCAAACGAAGAAAAAATCGTCAAAAGGAAAAAAAAAAACTCCGAAAGAAAAAAAAAATGCAAAAAACGAAAACAAAGAGAAAAAAATGGTCAAACAAGAACAAAATACACCCAGAGAATGTGCGGAAATGAGTTGAATCAATGAAATGGATAGTTAAAATGAGTAAAAACAACAAAAGTGTTGGTCGAAATCGGTAAAACCAAAAGAAATACCGGTGAAGTAGACAGAAAAAGATCTGTGGAAGCCAAAATCAGTAGCATCCAACCATAAAAGATTGAGTCACTGCTCAAATTGATGTCATCAAAAAGGCAAAATTAAGTTGAGATAGACAAAAACAGCGACCGATGTGTCAAAATGGTTTGCATCGGTTGTTGCAATCAGTAGCATTAGTCCCTATTGAGATACATATTGAAAAAAAAAAGCCATGAAATGCTTGACATATGAGCAAAAAAAAAAAGCCAACACGATATGATTCACAATGCAAAAAGCTCAGAATGCAATAAAGTTTGGTGATAAATGTCGCTACAATTATTCACGTTTATGTCATTTGTTTTTTTATGTGCTCTGCCGTAGATTGTGTGGGCAAGGCAGCTAGCGCTAGACGGTGCTCGATTGAATACGTGTATGCATTGGAATTGATGTAGTATGTTTCTGGTCGACTGACATCAGTGTGTATGCCGTTGTTTGAAATCGTGTCATTTCATTTCATTCCGAAGTGTATTCACATTTCAGCAGCGACACAAGCACAATCACACAGTTCTGTGCACACTCGATCGCAATGCATTGCGACAGGCCTGTCTTCTTATAACTTATAAGCACAGAACGAGACATCAGTTTTCACACATTATAACAGCAACAGCCAACACCAACAACAAACGAGCGAATCGAAAACAAAAGGCATTAAAAATAATTCAATCAAAATGCTACGCTAGATAATTAACTAGTGGCACAAACAGATACAACCAAACGCTTTGCGATGAGAATCCACTGAGAGAGATATATGTTGCTTCATTGTGATTGTATGAGACGCTCACACTGTAGATCGACATAGTGTGTGTAACGATTTAGTTTTGAGCGTTGATAACTTATGTTCACACACATGCGCACACAGTCAGTTGGTTTTCTTGATTTTTCTTTTCAAAAATAAACCAGAAAACGACGATGAAATCGCTGATCGACAACAATGAAAGCAACAGTAGCGGTAGCTACATCATTCAATTATTTTATTCCAATTTGTATGGATTATTTATTATTAGCAAAATGAACTACGAAGAATTAGCGAATGCAAGCGCTTGCAAGGCAAACAGTGAACATTTTTAAAAACAGAAGTGTCGAACAATTCTCGGGCTATTAATTAATTGGATTTGCAATTGCAATGCGCTCTCATAGCGATTTATTTGTTGGTGCTGCTGCTGCTGCTGGCTTTTTGCACTGCTCGATCTTTCGGCTTCTCTTTCTGGCTGCTTTTTGTTTTCTTGCTCTGTCTGCTTCAGCTGATTCGTTTTTCTGCTCCCTGTCTTGCTCTATCTCATTCTGCTTCTCTTCTTCTCTCTCTTGCTCCTTTTCTCTCTCCTTCGTTCGCAAACTCTAGACAGAAGCTCATTCTGTCTATGTCGCTGTCCTTTTCAGCCGCTCGCGCTGTTTGTGTATCGCCTATATTTTCGAGTGGCAAATTCGTAATTCCCTCTAAGGGCATGACCTGAAAATAACACACACTCAAACAGCTTTAACAGCAAGAACAACAAAAAAAGAGCAGTAAATACAATGTGCACGCTTCAGAGATAGACTTAGTGCTCTGTTTTTGAATCGGAACTGACGACGCGCGGCTCAGAACGTACCGTCTGTTTTGATGGCATTACATTGACACCTAGTTTTTTTTATTAAATTCAAAGGAAACTATTTAATGCGATTGTGTGTACGTGTCAATTATCGCGACGACGACGACGACAACATCAGCAGCGCATCGCTTGAGTCAAGCGTAAGCTCATCATTATCGCCAATTTTTTCGCTAGTCTTTGTTGTTGCTGTTCAATTGATTGTTAATATGTGTATTTGTTGTTGTTGTTGTTGAACTTTATGTACGCAAATCGAAATACAAAGATTCGAAGCAAATAAGCCAATGGAAAATGTACACGAAACAAAAACGAAGAAGTTTGCTTGAATATGGATTTAAAATATCATTGCACTGTACTTTTTCGCATTGACGAGCACGTGCGTCAGGAAATTGCAGTCATGCAATAGAATGCATCCCAAACACTTCCTTTCCCATTTTCATTGCGCGCGCACGCGCACGCGCGTCAAGATGATTTGCGCAGATAAAATAAGCAGCAAACGCCGATTTGAATTTTGATCTCTCTCTCTCTCTCTCTCTCTCTCTCGCTCTCTCTGTGTTTCTCATTACATGAAACTCGACTTTCTGGCACCTTGCGTTTTTCTTTATATTTTTTCGATTCACTCTCTTCTGCAACTCACACAGAATCTTTAATTAAAAACAAATTGCTAATGCTTTCTTTTGTTTTTGTTTTTTTTTCGATCTTTCTCTCTCACCAGCACACGGGAAATAAAACCGAATCAAACGGGTATTGGGCGCCAAGTGAAAGTGAAAGTGAAAACCTCAATACCACGTCTTTCCAACATTCCTACAAATAATAATGCAACTTTAAACAAACGTGATTCTTCTTCGTCTTCTTCGTCATCTAATTATATTGATTCATCATCAAATCCAAATAGCTGGATAAATCAGTTAGAAACTAGTAAGTGATTTTTGGTAGTTCTTTTTTTTTTGGTTTCGGATTTTTGTGGGCAGGTGATTTTGTCTGAGCTAATTGTGATTGAAAGAAGAAAAAAATATCAAAGGCTTTTTAAGAATGAAATGGCCAAGTGACCAACACCATGTCTTGAATATTGGCTGAGTCTTCGATTAAATACAAAGTCTAAGAATCTAAGTTTGGGTCTTACTTAGTAAACCTGAAGCGTTAGAAATCAAGAACATAAACAGCGATTCGTCGCCCACTTTTGATCACAATTTGCTCGCAAAACTATCATTTTCAGTCAGAAAATAACGTTGGTTTTGTGTTAAAAATGAAACACAACCCATTTTTTTTTTCAAAAACTCTCGTTTTTTCGAAAAACTGAAAATCTCCCGTTTTTACACCACAAATATTGAAAAATCTCCTTAAAATGCAAAGAATTGTCATTTAATCCAATTTTCTCTCTTTTTTCTCTCTCTCTCTCTTCATCGCAATACAGGGAATGCCGAGGATAGGAATAGAAATATTAATAGTACTAATACAATAAATAATAATTCAATAGAAAATCATTTGACGGGGACGTCGATAACAACGACAACGGCGTCACCCATCAAAAATAATTTGCACCACCATCATAACAACAATATTAGCAGCCACAATCACCACCAATACAATAATCACCAGCAACAAAACAACAACAACCATCATAACAATAATATCAACAACTTTCAAAATCGAGCGAATAGTCGAAACAGCTCATCGTCAAATAGCTATGGTCGGGGGAATCCTGATATTGTGAAAAGACCGATCAAGTAAGTGCCGAATTTTTCTTGACGTTTTTCCTACGAAGAGAAAATCAGAAAAATGAGTTTACACTCATAATTTTGGGACTGTTTAAATAGTCAACAAAAAAAAACGCTCTTTCAACCAAAAAAATGGATTGAAAAAATCTAAAATGCCGTGGCTTAGATCAACTAGAATGTTAAGAATTATAGAATTTTCAGTTTTGGATTTTAAACGTTGTTGCAATCAGAAATCTTCAGATGAACGTGTGAAAAGTGTGTTGACCATTTTTCCATAAGTTTCATTACTCTTAGATGAAATTTGGTTGGTTTTCACTTTTTTGATACTTTTTTTTCCGAATTTGCAAATTTTCCCAAAGAAAACAAAGAATTTTGATAAAAGACCGATTGAAATGACCAATCATTGCGTCAAAAATCATTGTTTTCTTCCAAAATAATCAATTTTTTCACAATTGTCTTCATTGAAATGACATCAAACCTTTAGAAAAGAAGAGATATCAATTCCTTGGAAATTGATGTCCTTGGAAAAGTCAACGATTTTCCACGAAACAAGTTAGCAAGATCATTTTTTGTTGCCCCAAAGAAAGCTGCCGCCACTACCATCACCATCACCATTACCATCACCAAATGAATTCCAATCGAATCGCATTTGAACGATATCGAAGCTTTCGCCTCAAATCCGATTCAATGTCACAAAGCACTGTATGCGACGGAGCTTCGAATTCACCTGTTGACATTTGTGCGTGGCAATACATTTAGTCAAAAACCCTGAAATCAGACACTTGCACAGATTTCGTTGTCTTTTCTTCTGTCTTCTATTTCTTTGTTGCTTTTATTTTTTTCTGCTTCTTCTTGGTTGTTGTTTCGTTTCATTAATCGCAAATAAAAATTGCGATTCATCGAAAATAGACGATATAAATGTTTTGTGTCTGTTTCTACTTCCTTTATTTGAACTGGTTGTTGGAATTGCGTAACAGTGCAGATATTCGAAAACAAATATATAAACAAACAGAAACAGCGCGAGAGAGAAGAAAAAACAAGTCGGTATGTAAATATGCGCGCCGTTCATTCTACAATTTAACTGCATTTTCGAAGGGAAAAACACCAAAAAATTTGATCGGCACAAAGAAAATTTCCATAAATTAGAACGGTTCTTTTGCGATGGAAATGAGTGTCTTGAATTTTATTTTGTTTGTTAGCCGGTTAAGACGGCTCTTGTGGCCATGTCTGCAATTCTTGTGTGCATGATTCGCGTACATTTAATGTCTCTGATGCAATAAATAATCACGTAATCATTTATCGTCGTGGTTTCAATTTATGATTTACCACATGCGACAATTTTTGTTTTCTCATTCGAAATGTGCACGTGTGCGTGTATACCACCTCCGAATAAAAAACAAACAAACAATAAATCCAATCCAAATGCAAAATGAACAAAGTTCCAGATCGCTTTTCGATACACACAGATGTGTTTGAAGCTAGAAAAGCAAATAACATAGATAAATAAACCGGTATGCTGTGTGCATAACATGTTGCGCTAAAGCAATAACAAACACAGTGTTTGTGTGTGTGTGTGTGTGAGTTTGTTTTTTCAGAACACATTTTGTTTTTTTTTTTTTGGTCGGTTCATTGCTGAACAGAGATCGCAATCACCTACTCAAATCTCGTATTGCTCGAGAGAGAAAGAGAGCGAGAATTCAAAAGACCCAAATGGATCTGGTTTTCGCGAGGGGAGGCTTCCAAGTCGAAAGGTAAACAAACCAAAACAGTCATTCGGGAAGTGGGATTGATGATCGAATTCATTGGTGTTTCAATGATCTCAAGGAATAAGGGAAAAACCACACCGTTGCTGCAAGTGCATTACAACTAGCGACACCTTGTGGCACCGATAGTAAAATCCTGTGTGTTACAATGTATTTTTCAACACATTACAATCGGTGCCACCAGGATCGCCTGTGGTATATTGCTGTTGCAGCAACCTTGTGGGAAAAACACCGGACGAAGTGGAAGTGACGGCGGAGGTGACGGCTCGCAATTATTAAATGCCATGGCAAAAGGTGGAATTGTCTCGTAAAAACCCTATTAAAACGGGTGATAATTTGCTAATTGAGCATGTTGATATTGTGTCACACGGTTTTTGAAGCTAGTGGACGCGAACGGTGTGTGAGCAATGGGTAAAAAAAAACGCACCGCTCGACTTGTGGTTGTGAGAGACAATAAATAGTCAGCGCTATTTTTATGCAGATCACCTGCGTGCTTTGCTTATTTTCTGCTACAAACTAAAACTTAGTCTATTACGCGTATTTTTTTTAGTTCGCTCTCTGTCCCTCTCCCCATCTCTCTTTCTCTCTCAAGATCTATTCGTATTTTTTTTGTTGCTCGTGTTTGGCATGCTTGGCATATTTCCCATTCTCAAATGAAATGTAAGCCATTTCTATCATAATTACAGCAATTTTCACATCAACAAAAATGATTCCGCATATAAAGCCACACATGCCTACATGGTGCACATACACCAACCAAACAATCAAACAATTCAAACTACGCTTCAACAATTGAACTTTGAAAAAACACACCGATGTTTTGACATTTATTGATATTTCGACCGGAGGTGGATCGACATTTTGTTTGAATTGCAGTTTTAATTACAGCGTTTGTCGATAACATGTGAGAAATCAACCTATTAAGCTCGATAAAAAAAAGCAGTGTGAGACTATGACCATTTTATGATCAGCTGATTGTGGATTTGGATTTATGTTCCAAGGTTTGATCCTGTTTGAATAGCGATAGCAATCGCAAACACCACTGCCATTGTCACCATTTTTGTTTTGTTCGATTCTTTTTATGACATCGTCGGTGTCTGTTCTGACACTGAAAAGGCCTGTGAGTCGATGATGACAATGGATGTAAAAATAAACTGTGTCGAAGCATGAGACGGTGACGACGGAGGTGGTGAACGCACATGTTATCATCGTTGCCATTGCTGATTTGCTCTCATTAAGTTACTGAAAATTGAGCAGCAGCTGGAGTTCGATATATTTCGATGCGCTCAACATGTTATTTATGCATGAGCATTGAGCATGGGTGTCATCACACCCACGCATTTCTACCATCAAGAATTTTTTAGCATCATCAACAACTGCCGCTGCTATCGTCGTCGTTGTCTCCATCATATCGTATCCAATTCACCTTATCAATGTTCATCACTTTCCGATAGCCAATCGTACATTCATACACTCCCACGTGCATCACTTCATAATCAGAGACTCTTCTCATTTTTTCGCTTGGATGTTCCAAGTCACTTGCACATGCTGCCCAAACAGCGATTCGGTTTCGATCGAATCGATTACGTAGAATGAAAGCGAAACTTATTTTTTTCTCCATAGAATTGTGTGCATTGAAAATATGGAATGAATTTGTAAGTGATTCTGTCTGTAATAGATCGGCCCCTTATCTTAAATGTTTTCTTTGGAAATCTCGACTACTATCTGCTTTATTATGCTTATGAATAAATCGGCAGCAAAGTGATTATTCGGTGAAATTAAGTTCCAACATAGAGAGAATGAGTGTGTTTTGTATTGTGATGATTGAATGTTGAAAAGATGGCCCTGTCATCGACCTCATCAAATTACGCGTCATTACTAAAATTCTGTTTTATTCTTCTATTCTTTTCAGAGAAAGGCTGATACACATGCTAGCACTAAGACCATATAAAAAGCCAGAAATTTATTCGAAAATAACCAATGGTACGTTGGACACATATTGATTGATTTATTTTTGGTGGATATTGTGAATTAATTCTTTTATGGTTTTGTTACATTTACAGAGGGTGTTAGGAACAGTGAACGAGCGTGCATCGGAACGCTGCTGAAGTCGTTATCATTTATGCGCGATAATACGTATCATTTGCATCGGCATCTGTGGAATGATGTGCACGAAGATTGGCCATTTTATACCGAACAAGATCGACAAAGTCTTAAAAGGTAACGCTTTTGGCAGCAACGAACTGCTGCGAAAAATGCACAACCCTGACGCCATTTCTCATGTTTTCTTTCATTTTTTTTTTCTCGTATTCGTCTTTCGGTTTGTTCTCTCCATTTGTTTCTTCCTCTCATTTTCGTCGTGTTCCGTCTCTGTTCGTGGCTGTTTGTCTGTTTGATATTGTTTTTTCGTACTTGTGGCCGGCCGGGCTTGGTGTTCTACAATTAAATGCTCCGCGATGCATTGAATCACAGGAGAAAGCCAGAAAATTTAACGCCGCCATTAAGCTCTGACGGTGGATCATCGACATCGGGTCAGAGTCCAACGAGTACGCACAATGGTAGTCCGCCGCCAGCTGTCAAACGGCCACCATTAAACAGTGATAAATACACATCATCAATGGATGGTCCAGCCAGCAAAAAGCAAAGAATTAGTCATTATCGCAAAGAAATTGTGAACCATCAAGACACAAACATCGGCGCTAGATCGAAATACCATGACTTGTAAGTAATTTGGATCCTAACGAAAATTTAGACACACGCAATCGAATTGGGTGATTCGAAGATTGATTGAAAAGTGAGTTGAGCTCAGATGCTTATGGAATTGCTATCTTAGGAAGCTAGAAAATTCAACAAGAAAAAACTTGGCAATCAAATGTCAAATCAAGGCACTTTCGTCACGATGTTCACTTTTCCGCACAAACGTACAAACGAACGAAATTCGTAGATCAATTCATAAGCTGCTTAATTCAATTACTGGCAAGTTCATTGATATGATATGTGCAACCGATTTGTATAATTGCATCGATATCAAATCAATTGAAAGTGTCACAATTGTAATTGAGTCACTTCAAATGAGTCATTCGACGCGAATTCAGTTGAATTGACACAATTCGTTAAAAAAAAAAACATCAGTCTGTAATACACTGTCGGTATTACAACTGTTGAGTCTCGTGTTGTCAGCCCTCATTTGTTGAATCGCCGTTGTTTGACATTTGATAGCAAGTTAATTTGATTACTAATGGCATTCCACTCACAACAATTCAATTTTGAATCTAATTCGGTGTCAATTTCGATCCATACACACATTTTGACTCTCCCTGAACGACTGTAACTGTAATCGAAACGTTCATTTGGATAGTGAAATGCAAGAAAATGTCTGTGTATTCTCCACACACAGACATACACACACACCCACACCTTCGCTCGGATGGCTCTTTAATTGTTTAATTTTGTTGTTCCGTAGTGATGATAACATGGACATGTTGAATTACAGGCGTGATCTTGTACATGACACAAGAGAATCTGCCATGAGTTTGAAATCTAGATCACGGGATGAGCCGTCAATGCGTTCTAGTTATTACGGGTAAATTGTACAATTTCATTTCCAATCAAATCCAACACACTTTCATTTCACCGATCCAACGTTGAAGATACGAAGAAGAAAATGACTGTTTTCTGATTCGGGTGAAAGCGAATTTTTTTCCGTTTATTCGAAGGGCCACTTAATGTTGAATTTTGTGTGCATATTTCTTTTCCTCTCCCCACCCATTCGTTTGTGGTTTAGACCCAATGTCACACCAAATGCTCAAGAATCGGAGGATAGCGGTCTGGGTAGTCTTGGTTATTCAAGCACCGAAGCAGCTAAGCGAATGTCATCCAGTTCATCGTCGATCAACAGCGAACAAGATCACGACCGGGACATTTATGATGATGATGTACGAGAATTACGGCAACACGGTCCACCGCCATCAATGAACGTGGTCAGCGGAAGTGGTGGTTATGATTTTAGGTATGCATCAATGATGAACACACACACACATTTTTCTTGGTTGGACCCCAAAAAAAAAAATTGGTGGTTTAATGTAGAAAACACTCCTTTCCTCACACGCACTACGTGCCATGCAGTGTTGTGTGGGGCAAAGTGGAATTGATGCAAAGATGAGCAGAAAAAATGATGCAAAGCCGAAAAAAAGTGATTCAAAGCAATCAAAAGAGATGTAAATCCAAAAAAAATGGGATGCAATGAGAAAAACAAGATGAAAAAATGATCCACACCAAAATAAAAATCATTGCAAAAATACCAAAAACAGCAAGAAAAAAAAAAATCAAAAAGATGCAAAAAAAACATGAAAAAATTCTGCAACAAAATCTCGAGTAGAATTTGCAATACAAAAAGTCTTGAATAAGCAATTTTTTTTTGTTATTGCCAAAAACGATTGATTTCTTAACCGAAAAAAAAATCTCTTTTTTTCCCTTCACCTTCGTGCACCAGTCAATTCACTAGAATTACGTCAATCGAACAACGGCGTCAATACAAGACTGAATTTGACAAGGACTATTCGGACTATATGAAACTGCATGCGGAAAATGAACGCGTTTCAAAACGATTTGCTCAACTTGAAGAAAGCCTACGGAATACAGATCACAAAAATCAACGATACAAAGTGAGCATTTAACCAGTAAAAAAAACACTCGCTGGTCTATTGAACTGAGGGGCTGGTTAAAAACCGATCTCTCTGTCTAAATTGTGTTCTAATCAATTTGAGATGATTGAGTGTGCTAAAATTGTGTTTTTCATCTTTTTTTTTTCTGCAGGAAATTCAACAGCAAATTCTAAAAGAATTCTCACGACACCAAGAGAAAAAGAAACGGTGAATGTCGCATACTTCATATTTCCATTAAAATCCCTACCATTGTGCAGACACTAATTGTTTTTCATTCGGTTTATAGGTTCGATTACTTGCACCATAAGCTGTCGCATATAAAGCGATTGGTTAACGAATTCGACTCAACGATAACTAACGGCCAAATAAACTACTGACGATTAATGAGGAAGTTTAGGACATGCATATTCATGATGTTTCATTGAAGAAAAAACACAAACCAAGCAGAGAGAGAGAGGAAAGGAGGCAGGAGACAAATAACAACAATCACTTTTAGAAAAAGATTTGAAAAGCAGCGTGCGGACTAACAAAAATGGCAATCAAAAAACGAACAGCAAAAATGTGGAGCAAATCCGAACTGATACAGAACCAAAACCACCATGGCTTTTACAAACACACACACACACACACACCACTCGCGGCCTGATCAAATTCTCAACAAAACACCATTGTTTTTCGTTCCTGCGCATATGATCAACAATTCCGATTCTACACACCAGGACCAACATCTCCGGTTTATTTACTTCGTTACAACAACGTCAACGATATTCGTCAAGCGTCGATAGGAAAATGAATTTGCACGAGACAGACGACACACACACACACACACACTTCAAATTGATGCATTTACAACTATAATTACTACACAACACTCCAGTAAAATGCTCCGGATTAGAAAAACCCAACCAATATTCTGATTCAACAGTTCAACATCCCTCGGTAATATCGCTATCAGGTGTTTCAATACAAACACACCATTTTTTTTAATGAATTGAAATGGAAACATTTTACTCGAATTAATCAAAAACCGATTTCAATTTGCCAACCACACACACACACACACACACCATATGTTTCTTTAGTAAGATACCTTAATTGCAAGCAATTTTTTTTTCTTCGATCGCAGCATAGCTAAAATGAACAAAAACATTTGAAATTTAAACAAAAATTCAAAAATTTAAATCGATGAATATCTTATGCGAATCAAATTCCATAAGGATGCTGTACAATTCCGTTGTGAAAGACAAATTCAATAAAAACACAATTGTCATCGCAAATTATCACGATGAATGAAACAAAATGTTTACAAATTGGATGTTGCACGCACATACACATATACATATATACATCTCTATATATTTAAATATATTTTGAACAAAGAATGAACACGTCCAGTAATATGAAAGAGAAATCATCTGAGTAACCGTTTTCTTTTTCGTACACATTTTCAACACACACATACAATCACACAAAAGGAAATTATTGCAGTAAATCGAACGAACGAAAGAAAATCGAATGAAAACAAAAATAGTAAATTGAATGAAGCATTGAAATAGGACACACCATAGCAAACATAGCGATCAGGAATGATAGAAATTTTCTTTAGATTTTTCATTTTCGAAAAAAAAAACCAAACACCAATTGAATCATTAGTCGCGATTGAAATTTTGCAATTGAAAATTGCCCTTTTCAGTTGAATAAACCAAAAAACATTAAATAAACGTTTAATCAGCTCATCAAAAGACCAATCCATTGCAATTTGTCAAGTGGTACACATGTTAGAAGCGAACAATATTTAAAAAAAAATAGTCACAATAATACAAATCATTTGAATTCTTCAATTTGTTTCCGAATTTGATTGTTCGAAATTCGAAATTAATTGTCGAAATTCAAATTTTTCATTTCCTTTAGAAACAACAACAACAATTAAGTTTGATTACTTTGAAAAAAAAAAAAAAACAATTTCAAATTCGTGACGGTAGTAGGTTCATTGGTAATAAACGAAACGGAACGAAAGAAACGGTGTGTAAATTGGATGTTTGGGAGAATGTGTTGAAACAAAGTCATCGCCACTAGCTCGCTCAATCTCAATCAATAAAAAGTTAGACAAAAAGAATTGATTCCAGAATTCAAAGAAAGAATCGAAAAAACAGAACAAATTCCCTCTAATTTTATGGTGCTTATCGTTGTAGGGCCATTGGGTCCGAACATTTCTTGCCAGGTGCATGCCAATCGAAATTTGCCGGCCAAACCAAAACAATCAATGATGATGTGGTCATCGTTGCGATATTCACCAAAATACCCAAACACATCCCTGCCACCTCCAACGCAACGAATGGAGGAACTGAATGATTCCAAAAACAATTAACTCTTCCTTTTTTTTGCGCAACGGCACAAATTTCGAATCATCCATAATATCTGGCATATCTTTTGATCAAATAGCCACTAGAAATAATGTAGTGTTCTTTAGTCGTCCAAATAAACAAAACAAAAAAACAAATTTTCTATCAACGCGACGGAGAAAACCGAGCCGGTTCACATTTGAATAAAAAAAAATTACTTTTTGATTTTTTTTTTTCAAATTTCCATAAAAATGTAACTTAAAATCATAAAATTCCATCCACACCTAATTTGACCACAAATCCTTCCTAACGACAACAAAAAAAAAACCAACAAAATGTCCATCACATTTGCATTTTTTTAGTATTGTAATCATAAATAATTGGATTTTAATGTTTTTTAATCGTCAGCGAAATGGGAGACGGATATTTCGTGCTGCGAAATGAATGAAAATGCGTCACAACAACAAAATCTTTAACTATTTCGGTCTTCTTTTTTTAAACATATTTAATCGTAATTGAAATGAAAAATAACGTCCGCATTTGAGAGCTAAGCAAGAAAGAAATAGGAAGAATGAAAAAAAATACGACAAAAAAATTGTATGGCATCCATCCAATGTCATTTATACTGGCATTTTAACAATTCTATCGTTTTAACGTTTGAACAGAAAAACAAACAGATCTTTTAAAAAAAAGAAAAGAAAACAGTTGCGAGAGAGCTAAGCAATTCGATTCCGTTCGAGATAGCAGAGGAGAATATATGAAATTGAATGAGGTGAGAGAGAGAGAGAGAATGAAGAGAATGAAGAGAGAGAATTAAGGTAGAATTGAGAGAAAGAATGATGCGAGCGAGCCAACTGCGGGTAAAAGAATGAAAGAGCACATGAGTGAAAGCAAAAGCGATTGCGAGAAATGAAAGAACGGAAACGAGTGAGCGAGCAAACAAGAATCAGTCGAATTGAGGCGATGAGTCATCGTCGATGACGCAGCAAAGGCATTCGAGTAAAATAAATCAAACTAATTTCCATCCAGTAATTAATCATCCAATGAAGTAAATTTTTTTAAAGGAACTAGAGCGCGATTTTAATGAGTAGCAGTGGCGATGTTTTGTTGACTCACACCAAAATTACCGAAAAATAACTGTGTCCCAACGCAAACGAAAGCAAAAACTCAACATAGAAGTCGTGTGTCGGTTTTAATAATAGCGAAAGAGAAAGAAAGAAAAAACGATCAAAAATGAATAAAATTTGAATAAACCCGGAATCAAAGATATACAAAAACAAAACATTCTCAGCACACCCAAACACACACAGAGAAAGAAAAAGAGCGGGGGAAGGAGAAACACACACACACACAATGTACATAAAATCGATTTACTGAAGGATATTATTTATAGTTGAATTACACCAGCGAAAGGCAAGCATCAGTCTAGCGTGTGGAAGTTCTACAATGGAATTGTACCTATGTTTTCCCCCTTATTTTCATTCTGCACTCAAGAACCAATTTTTTTTAAAGAACAAAAAAAGACCAAAAATGTTTAAAAACCGAGCAAAACATCACAAATTTCGAACGAATCAAATGGAAAGAAGCAACAGGTCGGTCAAACACTTTTGGAACCAAGAACAGAGAAAAAAACTGATGGCGATGCTTTTAATAATGTCTTGAAATGGAGAGAAAAACTTTTCATTTCCATTTTAGGCAAGGACCGAAAGAAACATTTCAAATGACACAACATATTTTATTCAAATTTCAATCCAAATTTCCGTTGAGATTTTACGTCAATACGCGATGAAATACACACCGAGCAAAATTCAGATTGAATCAATAGCAAACATATTTTTGAAAATAAATTTTTAAACCAAAATCCAAATTTCGGTTAAAATCAAAATCAGACCATCGTCATTGTTTTTGTTTTAGAGAAATTGAATCTAATTTATTTTAAAGCTATCAAAAATTGGCCAATTCACTGGTTTTTATCCAATTCGATGGTTTTCATTTCAATGGCCTTTGAATCTGTAACCATGATTGCCTGAGTCGGGTAATGCCCAACTGAGGCGAAAATCGAAAAAAAAAGTGTTTGAATTGTTTTGACCGGAATCGAAATAAAAGGGTGTGAAAACATGCAACTGGTGTTGTGTCCATAACAAAATTCAAATCAATTGAATTAGATGAAGAGATTCTTTCTTTAATGAGTGAACGAAAAGATTACATTTCAAAAAGGTGTTAAAAAAAGAGCATGAAGAGATGCAAAATGTAATACTTGCCATTTGATGATTTTTATTTAGTGCTTCTTCAATCGATATTTTTATATAAATATTTTGTTCAACAAAAAAAAAATTTCTCGGAAGATTTATCATTTTGTTTCATTCAACATACATAAAAAATTCTTTTTATTCCAATGAAAATAAAAATAAATAATTGATTGCCTTTTGTTGTGCTAATTTAGTTGATGTGTGTCAAAGGATTTGTCATTGAATTTGATTAGCAAAAAATTTCGAGAGAATTTTCAATGAGAAATGCGAACATTTTTCAATTGAATGTTATGTAAAAGTTGGTGTGCATTTGGTGATGGCACATTTCCTTTTTTGGTTGTTAATGGACAAAATCAAAAGAAGAAGAAAAAAAGACATGAGAATCAAAGAACATAAGTTAGTAAATAAATGAGAAAAAAGAAGAAAAAAAAACAATTTGGTCATTTTGGTTGTGTCGACTGCTGATCAGTTCAGTTGATTACGTTGATTGTCCTCCACAAGAGATTTCACGGAATAGCCACTCATAAAAGAGACTGTACTGATTTTTTTTTAACACAAACACACACACTTTTCCTTGACTAGAAAGGAAACACTTTTCTTTAAGCAAAGCGAAAAGGAAAACCTTTTTTTTCTGAAACAAAAAAGAAACTCTTATCCTCAAGTAGAAAAAAGAAGATGGTATTGGTTTTTTTAAATACGAAAACAAAAATCAAAACACAAAGAGATAATTGTTCAATTGGAATTGATTTTCAATTTAGCAACGAGAAGAGAAAAATCCGAGAATTTTTACAAAGAAAAAAGAAAGTCAATTTGTTCATTTCGTGAAGAGACTGAATGTGCCGAATTTCCGTAGAGTGTTTAGCGTGTGTGAGAATACCCACACTGTGAGATAGGACGATAGGAGGCCAAAAGAAGAGAGACTCTTTGAAAAAGAAGAAAAAAAAAATCAATTAAAAATTGAAATCTCGATAGAGGCGGGGAAAAGAGTGTGAATCCGTCGTGAAGTTACTTCTCTCGAACACACCTTTCCCCATTATACCCTTTTTTCTGTTGTTGTCGTTCGCATGCAAGCGTGCGTATATAAATTTTTTTGTAATTTGCCAAAATTCTGTCTCCTTTTGTTTCTTTCTTCTGTTTATTAGTGTGTTTTTTTTAAATACAACAATCAACAAGGGAAACTTTAAACTATTTTTACTACTATATTATTATTTAGTTAATTAAAACTATTTTATGAGCAAAATGATGGAAGTAAAAGATTTAATGATGACACACACACACACACACACACACAAAGTTGAACCTTACAAAGCAAAAAAAAAAAAACAAACAAAAAAAACTTTAAATACAAGCATCCTTATTTTAGCTAATTTAATCTAAGAAAAAGAGCAAACGAGAAAGTGAAAACGAAAAAAAAAATTCAACATGATAAGAAATGCAAAAAAAAACAAGTTATTGTTCTATTATCTAATTATTATGTTTCTAATGTATAGCAAAAGAGAAAAAAACGTAAATCGAAAGTGAGGGAAAAAAGCAAAAAAAAATGTGCGGTTTCGTTATGTAAACACAACCGACAAAATAGTCCAGTTGACATTTTCTCTAGAATTTTTTTTTTTTGCCTGCTTAAGCGAAGGAAAAATGTGTGAGCGATCGGTTGTACGATGTGCGTTCGAATCGACGTGCTTCGCACGTAGTAAACAAATAGACAAGCC